CGGAAAAGTACAGCGGGGGAGGGGGGCAAAAAAGTCACTTCGACCGAGTCACATATCAGCAAAGTTTTCGCTGCCCAGACAGAGGACGTGGATACGAGTACCAGGCGGAAGATACCCAAGATGTTCCTCGATAAGCAGGAGCTGGCTCTCGCCCATCACCTTCATGTACACCAAAATATGAAGTCATCTCCAGTCGCAGCCTGACTGGAGAAGACCTTTGGAATTCATGTCACCTCACAGCTGCGAAACTTCTAGTATGGAGTCACCCATGGATAGCTACCTGGAGACCAGTACTCTCGATCTGGATGACCTCCAACATCGAGCAGCTCCGACAACGTCGCCACGGTCTAGGACATCATCTTCACCGCAGTCGCCAAGGCGCGGGTGATGGTATGGACCGGAAGTACCTTGGAATGGAAAGGCAATATTTTCTTCGTGGACCCGACTGAAGGTGAGCGCTGGCGGTTACATTGGGCAACTCGTGAAGAATATCCTCCTCACATGTGGTCGCCCGTACCTTCTTGGAAACTTTGTACTGCTACAGCATTGAGTGCCACCACATGAAATCGAAGGGCGTTGGAGAAACACTCGCCTACTTGGAATGGAAGGGGGCTGAGTACCTAAAGAAGATGGAATATCCAAGTAGGTCACCTGACCTGAATCCCCTCAATTACCCGGTTCGGGCGGAGTTCAATAGGGTGGTCTACGGTGGCGGAGAAATCGACTATCTCGCTGATCTCAGGCACCACATCGCGGTTGCGTGCCAGAATCTCTCGATGGCGCTCCTCCAGAAGCTTGTGCGGGAGTGTCATGATAGTATTTGATATGCTCTTTAATATGGTGGTAAAAATGTCCGATCAGAATTCAATAAAGTGTAACTTATAGCGCCTCGAAAGTCAATGAAGAAAAGTGACTTTTTTTGGCCCCCCCCCCTGTATAACTTCCGGAATCAGTTTCACTTCTACTTTTTCAACGCCTTCTAAATTAATATCTTTCTTCTTTCAGCCCAAACTTGCTCATAGTGAAACCATGAAGAGTGAAGGTTACCTATAAGTTCGTGGAGATCTTTTTCCTCAATCTCGTCTAAATCGTCTACATACGAAAGCACTTCTTCTAGGAGCTCTTTCGGATCTAGGGAACTCATCACCTGAAATCATGAATCACTTAGGGAAATTTATAGAATATTGAAAGATTTCACTCACTAACCTTTGCATGATCTTTGTCTACTTTTTGTGCTGGATAGTATCTCACGCCGCTGGTGACGTCCAAACGATCACACAAGGCGCTGTCCCCTCGAGGACTACAGTCTATACTTCCCACATTCACAAGACCGTCCAACATCGCCGCCAGTTTCCTCCTGAACTTTTGTAATCATCTCGTACAAATGAGTTATGTACGAAATTCAAGATCTATGTTCGATGCAAGCTTTATCCATGTGCAAGTTGTTACTCAAACATTGACCATTGAATGCCACAAAAGTTCACATCACACAGAGGGTGGAGCAAGCAGCTCAACCATTGCGAGCTTCTTTCTTTCTCCGCCCATCTTCTCATAACCAGACAAGCCAGCCGACCCGTGAGGCAGCTGCGCCAATGCTTGCACACCTCCACCCATGCAACAAAGATGGACTCTGTATTCAACAGGATTTCAGAAATATGCAAGCCATCTCGGCGACTCCTAGAGATCCAAAGCTGTGCCTGCTGTAAGCTAAGTTCTTCTCTTGCTCAACTTAGCAATTAGGTACGCATCCATGACTATCCAACCTGTTATCATTCCCTCCTACGTGTACCAGAGCAAGTCGAATCGTTGCACTCACATGACCCCAAATAAAACGGATCAGCCGACAATTTCATTCAGTTGGTTACCCCCCCTTTGAGCGATGCATTCATTATCAGTCCCAAAATCATTGTGATTCTAGGCAAGGCCAATTCTTGAAGCCGCTACTTGAAAACGAATTGTGAATGATTACTGGAAGCCACTGCGTGAAAATTTTTTTCAGAGACATACCAGATATCCTACCTGAGAGTACACTCTAAATCCCTGAAATGCGGTAGGTGTGGCTGCGTACACTCACTAAATGTGCGAGCGTCGCTAGTGCTTTTGGTGCAGGATATCTTTCACGGTTTGACACAGTTCTGGCATGTTTCCACACAGTACAAGCATAACATTTGTATCAAATAAAAAATATTCGCCGGCGAAGTAACCTTAACTATACCAAGTGCCACGCCCACTCCATCTCAGGGATAGCCCGTAACATTATGGCCACCTGAAAGAATAGATGAGCCAGAACACCACAGCTCTCACTCCTCTTCTCAATCGTCTTGGAATGAAAGGTGCACCAAGGAGGAATGATCTAGTTATACCCACTCAATAATCGTGGAATGTGCATCCGAGAAAAAAAAACTACTGAAGCACTACTTCTCAGTATAAAGTTTCTATGACTCCTTTCTCTTCTTATTTCGCTACATTTAAGGAACTACTTCGAAACAAAACCATACCTATTGACAGAAGAAAGACAGGAGTCGCTCCTGTCACAGAAGTCGATGATCCACGGTCGAGAATCGTATGGTTGCCATGAGGTCGTCAACGCTTCGATATTATCGGACTTCAGATGAAGAACCTGAAATCCGAAGACATATACATACAAAAAGATGCAGTGAAAAGAATCACCGTATTTTCCGTGGTATGAGGCGCTCTAAAATACTCACAAGGCTGCAGAGAAGCAGACAACAACACCCGCGAAAACCTTCTGGACAAAAACAGCAGGCTCTTTGCCTTCCGCCTAGTTTAGTCCTTTAATATGCCGTTTTTTTAACATTTCTGCATTTAATAAGGAGATCACTCACATACGTTTCAACAAACTATCGAAAAGGAAAATGAGGAGATCTTACTTGGGCCGAAGCCAATGTGCCGCCCCACACACAGATGTGCCTCATACCCCACAAAATTGTGTGCTCTTATTCGGGCACTCTTTCCTTTAAGATCCAAATTCGAAAAGTGTTCGCTCCTTGGCATACACTTAGACGCCCCCATCGATAGCGCCACTATAACAGCCAGCGCGGACGATGCGGCGTGCCGAGAGCAGCTGCGGATCATAGACTTTTGCTGCGTAGACTCAGTATTCTTGTGTAAATTCGGAACGAAAACTGCCGACTCTAAAGCAGTATCTCATCGAGTTAGCAAAAATTTGCGGACTTCTTTTGGAAATTAAAAAATTCGCAGGACTAGATCTTCGAATTCATTTGCCAAAGCTTCCTCTGCTTATGGTTAGTAGATCACTTTCTAAAAGGAAGAATTTCTGCCCTGCCCGCCAAGTTCTGCCCGATACTGCACACCAGCGTCCGGTTCGATTAATTCGGTCCGGTTTTCCACTAATTAGAGAATGAACACCATAACATTTTCTGGTTGAGTAAACAAAACAGCCAAACACACCCACCTCGGATGTCATTCGTTGCATTATGAACTCTTGCAGTAGTTCGACATCACGCACTCCACCATAGAATTCGCCCTGCAATCGAAAATAAGTTAGTTTTACTAAGGACAGTTTCTTAAAAGGCCCAAAAGCCCGCGACCACAGATTTTGGGTAAACGGAACCCACATAGGAACGAAAGAGGGCTAGGTATCTGATTAGCGGAGAAAAGCAGCAGAAAAACAGCCGAAAATGCCCTAAATAGGATTCCATATCGACCCCAACTTGTACATGCATGCAATGAAGAAAACGCATGTTTGTACGAATTTCCACTCGTCGTTATCATAAAGATATCAGCTCTTTTATCGTATCACCTCACTCTCACCATTCGGCAATGGAGAAGATAGCATAGTGGCTACTAGCTAGTAGCTAGCAGCCGGTGGGGGTCGGCATGGGCCTAAGGGGCGCCCTGGGGCCTAATTGGTTAGCTTAAAGCGGAATTCTTGCCGATTTTCACTTTCTAAAGGTAGCGCAGCCTCCGCAATCTCCTTCCGGATCGTCTGACACATTTGAAAGGTCATAGCCTTATTTTATCGCGGAAAGTGCCTTTAAGGCTCAACGCGAAGGAGG